CTTGAATAGAATCAAATATTTGAAGCACCTCTTCAGTTATTGGTTGAGCTTCTACCATATCTATTTCCATTATCTGTTGGCATTTGTTTTGATTGTCATGTTGAGTTTCTCTGTTGACATATGTTTGAAGCACCTCTTCAGTTATTGGTTGAGCTTCAACCATATCTATTTCCACTATCTGTTGGCATTTATTTTGATTGTCATGTTGAGTTTCTCTGTTGACATGTTCAAAGTTGCTTATTGATCCAAAAACTCTTTCCGAAATATCAACAATGAAACGACAGCCCTTGAAGAGTGAATGAGTTTTTAGTAACTCTATACATGTGTGATGATCTAAATCTTTGGATACAAGCATTCCCTTGCTTGTTCCAAGGTTGATATCAAACCATATCACTGCTTCAAACTTGTCTCTATCCAATTCAATAACTTCAAAGATCTGTTTAATGAAATCTTGAAACCGAATTGCCTCATGTACTAGAAAAAACTTTATTTGATGATCAAGATACTTATAGTCTTTAGTCTATCTACCATTAAAAGAAACTATAATGCATATTGTTTCCATCCTGCAAGTCAAGAAAAACTCAGGACATATTTTATAGAGCAATCCTTGTATAATTAAGAACAGGTACTGTAAGTTCAAGACCAAGTAAAGGACCAAGTGACCTTAACTTTTGAACTTGGAATTCAAAGTTAAGGACTGCATGTCCTTAACTTTTGAACCTGCAAGTCAAACTTAAGGACTCGTGTCCTTAACTTTTGAACTTGAAACTTGAAGTTAAGGACTCCATGTCCTTAACTTTTTAACTTGGAACTCTAAGTTAAGGACCAAGAGTCCTTAACTATTCAACATGCAAGCCAAAGTTCAGGACGAAGTGTCCTTAACTATTGAACTTGAAACTTGAAGTTAAGGGCTACCTGTCCTTAACTTTTCACCTTGAAGTGTCCTGAACTTTTCAACTTGAAACTCAAACTTCAGGACCAAGTGTCCTTAACTTTTCACCTTGAAGTGTCCTGAACTTTTCAACTTGAAACTCAAACTTCAGGACCAAGTGTCCTTAACTTTTTCAAAACAATTTACAAAACTATGACAGTATGTCCTTAATATACAAAAGAACAACAACAAGACATTGTGTCCTTAACTTTTTCAATTCAATTTGCAAAATCAGGACACTATGTCCTTAATATTATGTGCTTAATTTTTATAGAATTATCACAGGACGTGATGTCCTTAACCTTATCAATCCAGAAATTCAAAAAAAAATCAAATTTCTACTTACTGTATAAAAATCAACAGAAATCGAAAAAAGTATAACCATGTCGAAATAAAAATCAATAGAAACACATAAAAGTATAACTTACTGTAAATTATGTCTATTTTTGGACGAGAAGGTTGAATTCTATAGTTTGAAATCGGAAGAGAATCTTCTGCAATTCTATACTTTGAAATTCGACGATCCCAGTGAAGTAGTTACGTGCGCTGCTGCTGATCGTTAATAAAAGCGTAGGTATAAGTTAAAGCAGAAGGGTATTTTCGTCCAATCAGGTATAAGTTTATTAAACCAGTGGCTAAAGCCTAAAAACATTTAAAACACTGGCTTTAAAATAAAGACAAGTGCTATTATTGGCTATTTGTGCACATCCCCCTATGTAAAACGCTTCATCTTACGCCCACGCCTTTTAAAACATTGTCTGCTACAATTGACTAAATAAAATACTGTGTATACGAATACTGTTAACGTAGATATGTTAAACATTTATTGTTTTCAAATAGTGCCCTCTTTCTTGACGTTAAAAGATTGGCACTGAATATATACATCAAACCGATTGGTGAATGACACATGCTTGTAAATAAGTTTTTTTCACTTAATCAGGTTAATTCTAATACATACATTTAACCTAAAAAATTATTTCACAATAATAAATTTATATAATTTGGTATAAATACTCAGTGTGATATCTGATCGAGCGGAATAAAAGGTATTGAAAAGAAAGAAGCAAAAGGACTAATCAAATCGAAGGTGGCTTCCTCATAGTCCAATCACCCTATAACCAATTAAATTGGTACCTAAAGATTTCCTAACAGAGCTTGATTAAATAAGGACCTATCATTTTTTTTTTAATGTTAACAAGTTCATAGTTAATGTGTGTATATATATTTACCTAAAGTAAGTTTCTAAACTATGTGAAAGTTTTTTTTCTTCCTTTTATTTTAACATTGTTAGTTGTGACTTGTGACGAGGAAAGTCTGTAATATGGAGCTAATTAGTTTTAGGTACGACTGTTGGTGTGCACCCGAAGAGTCGTGTTCAGACGGATGTAAAAATACTAGGTGATAATTTAAAAACTAAATTAAGTAGATCGGGCGACACTAACTATATATCTTTGAGATACATAGGTTAGGTCACTGAACTAACTAGTCCAACAATCAAAACCTAATTCTATGCATAAAGACGAAAAATAACACTAGATTATTCAAATCACAACAGAAATAAAAATATTAGGTAATTTCTTTTATTCTATTCAAGTGTTGATGGACAAAATTATTCGGTGTCTGCTCGGAAATATTTTAGAAACTAAATTAAGTTGGGCCACACTTATAACTATACATCTTGCAGAAATGACACCAGATAGTCATTCTAGAAGGCTGTTATTTAGAAATTAGTCAGTGTGTCCTGAGTTTCAATTTTTTCGAACACAAAGTTCTAAAGTTAAGATTTTTAGTTCAAATTTCAGGATAAAACAAGCACTGGCTAATTCTTAAATAAGAGCCCTAAAATTGAATATTTGTGTACTTATCCCATATATCTTTGGGATATATAGGTTAGGTCACTGAGCTAACTAGTACAACAATCAACTAATTCTATGCATGAAGACGAAAAATAACACTAGATTACAGGTCAAGTGCCTAACTTGTTATGCCCCATCTACACTTAATGCATATTCAAGACCAACTTTATTTATTTAAGAGATAATAGTAAGTGAATGCGTAAAGACTTTTGTTTCCGTTCTTTGGGAGATTTCGGATTCTCATAGCAAAATGTATAGAGAATATACATATAGGAATTCCCAACTAATTTGAAATTGAATTCTGATTGATACATTGGTGGTTTAATTAAGAAGAATTAACCCAAATAGTCACCCATCTGATTTTTTAAATTAAAAATAGCCCGTGGATATATATTATATGTAAAATTTATGCATAATATATGTATAACTATGTATAATTAATGTATAATCTATGTATATTAGCTAGAAAAAATAAACCGTAAATCTGGTCGACTATTTGTGTAACAATCCCTTTAATTAACAGTTATGACACTCCTTGCACTTGATTTTCAACTCATTTCAAAATTTGACAGAAAAGAATGAATTTTACAAATTTTAATCTCTTCCCTTCCACTGTCAAATTATATATCACATTCCATCATAGCAAAAAATGGTCTCTCAACCCTCTTCTAACTTAGCAGGATAGAAGAAAACAACCAATAGTTTGTCTTTTCTTCTTTTTAATAATAATAATGATGGTGTTCAGCATTCCACCAGCACACCTACTAGATAACTCCCCCCACCAAAATTTAGGCAAATAAGAAGAATCGTCTAATTTTTTGTCTGCCAGAATTTAAACCTTAGTCTCCACTTGCAACTAGCTCATTGACCCCCTCGCCTAATTATTTTCGGGGGCCAGACATTATGTTGGAAATGCTTTCCTTGATTCGAGAGCTATCAGAAATATTTTCTTTATCTTCCTAAGGTAGGGGTAAGGTTTTCGTACACACTACCCTCCTCATACTCTACTTGTGTAATTACACTAATATGTTATTGTTGTAGACGTTTGGGGGGGGTTCAAATATGTTATTGTTGTAGACGTTTTTTTTTTTTT